AGTCACAAACTGGTAATACTTATACTTCGTCAGGCCAGGCGACTGTCACCTCTAAGTGTTGACTTCAATGTTCAATTTCATATTTACACACGCTGTGATATTGAGCATTTTATCCCTTAAATATAGCACACCTTAAGAGTATATTTCTTCATATATATATATATATATATATATATATATATATATATATATATTTATATATATATATATATTTTAAACTGTTATTCAATGAGGTTTTTAAAACTTATCTCTATTAAATTTTAATCCCCACCTTACATATCTTAAGGCCTTTCCTGTATTTTTTTCTACTGTTACACCCTGAGGACTTTTTAGAACATTAAAGATAAATTTGTTTCCCCCAAACACAACATTCAATTTAAAATTTCATTTTTATACCCGGTTTTATTGGAAATCAATTTTTTGAATTTGTAGGTCTGATGATTTGGATCATGATTACGATTCCATCTTAATAAATTATAACCATGGAATATTAGTGTTTGAGCCTTCTATGTACATACATATGTATATATATATATATATATATATATATATATATATATATATATTGATTTATATTAAAAGTTCATTTGTAAAGATTTTAAAACACGGAATACGGATTAGATGTCAAGAAAGATATATTAACAACAGGTTACAGAGATAGGTTAATTAAATTTGAAGTTCTTTATTTTATATATTTTTTGAAACATGAAAATACCTGTGTAGCGATGCTACCATATTTTTAAATTAGTAAATTTAAATATTATATATATATATATATATATATATATATATATATATATTGAGTAATTTAAAATAAAAAAGGCATCTCGTCTGCAGTCAAATCTCACAGAATTGCAGTCGCCTCCTCTGTCTTTTTTATAAATACTTTCATGGTAACTGCTCATTGGTAGTTTTTCGATCGGTTCCCAAACATCGAAAATTTATTGTTCTACTAGGGTAATCGCTCAAACCCTATCACCGTCGAAAGTATTAAAATAAACCGTCTCTTTACTCCAATAGCTTCATGTCTCGCACCTCTCGCCTGTGGAATTAGAGAAATCTTCCTGTTTATTTTATTGCTGTAATTTCCAACTATTCAAATGTAATGTCAATCGACGTCTCCAAATCTTCCTTGATCTAAAAATATAGTTTCTTCATTATTTCCTCTAGCTTCTTCCTAGTTGATCTATATTCAAATCTCTGTAACCCCTTGCGCATATAGTGGATTGCCGCCTTGCTTGGGTGGAATATATAATATATATATATATATATATGAGCAGGTATGCAGAAAATAGAAAAGAACACGTTGGGTGCATAATCTGGAGTGCCTTTTGTATTTTTTGTTTTATTTTTAAGAAGACAGTGCTCCATACAGAAGTAGAGCTTTATTATAATAATATTTTTTTTGTTTAAAAATACGATTCCTTCGCTCTGACCACTTAACGAACAATACTAGTCTAGCCAATAACGAATGTTATAACAGTCTATGCCTAAAAACACACGTAAACCAAGAGATAGCTTATTCCTAAAATTTCGCTTGAAGATGAAACGGGACTAAACACCTCAATTCAACTTAATTTTAATAATTATTTGAATGGTTTCGGCTCTTTTTTTGAAACATGAGAACTCTTATGTATCGAAGGAATCATATTTTTAAACAAATATATTTAAATAATATATATATATATATATATATATATATATATATATACCCATGAAATTAATTAATACAAAAGCGAAATTTTCTCCAACCTGTAAGGATTGCCAAAAAAGAATATATTTCAGAAACATCAAGGTAGTTTAAATAAACGATTATATGAACACATAAGGAACATTTTTCAAAAAACTCATTAAATGCATCAGTTGCCTATCGTAACGAGACAGACCAAAACTTCTACTCTAGTTAAAAGAAGGAACAATACACTTGGACGAAAATGTTCAGAAAGTAATTTAATCATGAGTTTAACCTCTGTACATTTTTTGTCCAGATTCTTACAGGTTTAAATCGTTCTTAACAGATCAGGATATGTAGGATATTTATTAAGCAAGATGATGGAAAGTAAAAGAAAAAGAATCCAAATGGAATTGGCTAGATTATAGATCGAAAACAGATTTTTTTTTTCTTAATTTAAAATTCACAGCATCTCTCGTTCGTGGTCTCGTGTCGTTGCATCAACCTCACAAAACTAGTTTGACGAAGGCCTAAAATATGAAACGCGTCACACGAAAATGTTTCCTACTTTGTCATGCATCTTTCCTTCAAAATATATATATATATATATATATATATATATATATATATATATATATATATATACAACGAATAATAAAACGAATAACACATAGAATTAAAAGAAGTATTAATGCGATTATTTACGACATACAGATATATCGTCTCAAGTTTTGATTTTATAAGATAAACCAGACATGCCTGATGATGGATGGAAGACCGTCCGTAAGTACTAGCATTTTAACATCAAATAAACTGAAAAACTACAGACAACAAGTTTTTCTTCAAGGGTCAAAACTCGCACCTGGATGAACAGGATTTTAATGCATATATTATGTTTTCTAGCGATGGATGTCGCCAATAATCACATTAATACTTGATTAATTTATGTGTGATTATTTTTGTATGTAAATCATATGCTTGCCTAATGTTTTATATATATATATATATATATATATATATATATATATATATATATATATATATATATATATATATATATCATTAACTTTATTAATTTACTTATTGTCTGTGTTATATTAAGCATTGAACCGTTGTATCTTAGAAATGATTAAAGATATCTTACTGGAATCCTCCGTGCTTTTTTTATAATAATATTGGACAATACGAATGTATAATTACTCTCTAAGCTTAACAGGAGAATCGTGATTAAATCGATCATAAACAAAATTGACATGTTCAGCATTTATATCAAAGCTAAGGAACGGATGCTCATGAAGGATTGAAATTATGTTCTCACACACACACACACACATATATATATATATATATATATTTATATATGTAGAGAGAGAGAGAGACGTGTGTGTGTGTGTGTGTGTGTGTGTGTGCGTGTTATTCTAGGATCATTTTCCAATTTATTCAAAATGATCTTAACTCTCTCTAACCTTCTTTCTGTCCTAGAGTAAAAAGTTGCCACACATCTTTCACAAACGATTTCATTTGGAGTGTCATAACTAAAAATCTCATTTGTCAAACGATTTATAGATTGATTTGGATCATTTCTAATTTTCTACTAAATAAACGTAATACAGGTCGAAACATGTTGTTTTAAGTGAATTGCCACTTTAGTATATTCAAAAACATTCTCACTTACAATATTCAAAATAAATCTCTAGCGTAGCGTCTTTGTACCCTCCACAAATTTTGTAACTGTTAATAATAACACCCTTTTTAAAAGAAAAAAAAATCGACTTATATTGCATTTATTTTCGTCTCCAAAGTTACTCGAAATTACCTGAAGCTGAAAATTAATATCCATGCCTGAAAATGATGAAAGCATTCATCAAAATACATGCAAATAGACTGAACATTTAATATATTTTACAAATTTTAAAAACAAATATTGCGGCATTGGAAGAGTTGTTAGTATGTTAATGCTTTATTTAATCTGCTAGTGAAGTGAATTCGCCATTAATTACATTACCTGATTCATTCTTTGTATGATTATTTTTTTTAATATATATATATATATATATATATATATATATATATATACATAATATATGCATAGTACATATATATATATATTATATAATATATGTACATAATATATATATATATATTAAAATATATAGATTGCCAGATATATTTATAGTGACAGAATAATATAGGTTTTTTAATGGTTTGAGAATCTTTTACATCTAGGAAAATCGATTGCAATTATTTATTTTTGCCCCCATTGAGGATTGAAATCCACTCTTTCAAGCCGTGTGTGTCAACTCTCGCTTTGCGAATGTGATTAAGAATCGTGTACCAATATTCCTTCAGAATTCCTTGGAGCTTCAAGATAATTACAAAGCGTGCAAAGTAATTTATTTGTATCTATTTTATATGTTGGAAAATTCATCAAAATAATATTTTTTTAAAATATTTTCGAAAATACTTTATTGAACTCATTCTTTTTTTTTATAATTGTATTTAGCCCACGCTTTCTGTCGAATTCTACTTGATTGTAAAAAAAAATATTGTATCAATTTTTTTTAGTAAATCCTAATTTGATTCAGGAAAGTATGTTTGAAAATAAGGTGTCTGTCAGTTATTTAACATATCTTAATGTAATACACGTAGGCCATTGTTTTCTTTTTGTTTGTTTGTTTTTTTTTCAGAAGAGTCGACAGTCTTTTGCCATCTGCAATTTTAACTTTTTTTATGAAGCCTGAAATTACACAGATACAATATTAAGCCATATATCCTGAGCTGATATATCTGTTTGATACGATTTATTTTTCGCTGAATAACCAATAGAAGACGTCCGATAACGAGTAGGTTAGTTATTTAGTAAATGCGATACTAATATTGTACGCGTATTATTGCCATGGTTTCTCATTGCCTGTTGAATAAAATCACAAGAGAGTATTTGTTTACGCATCATCTGAGTGGTCCCACTGTTACATCAGAGTCATACAAGCGGTTCAGGAGGTATTCAAAATGACAGGATACTTACAGAACAGACTTACCATACTGATAAGATCAAAGCGCTTACAGTAAGGCATGTAATTCAGAAAAGGCTGCAATCATTAACATGTGTAAGAAAGAAAGAAAGAAAGAAAGAAAGAAAGAGCCAATGAAGGTTAAAATATGAAAGTAAAAGGAAGGAAAGTAGCAATATATGAAATGAATAAACGAAAGAAAAAAATAAGTTTATCTGAAAGGGTTGAGAGTTAAATAAGAAGAAAGATAGAAAGAAAGAAAGAAAGAAAGGCAAATTTGTGTGAAGAAAGCAGCAAAAAAATGAAAATCATATGTGTTAATGAATGAAAGAAGAGTTAAGAAATAAGGAATGAAATTGAAAAAAGAAAGAAAATAATCGATGATGGTGAAATAAAAAAGATATTCGTAAGACATTATTTGTAATCATATTAATTGATGTATGAAGGAAAGAAAAAAGATAAATAGATAGATATGAACAGGTTGATAGATAGATAATGAACATCCTTAGATAGATAGATAGATAGATAGATAGATAATGAACATCCTTAGATAGATAGATAGATAGATAGATAGATAGATAATGAACATCCTTAGATAGATAGATAGATAGATAGATAGATAGATAATGAACATCCTTAGATAGATAGATAGATAGATAGATAATGAACATCCTTAGATAGATAGATAGATAGATAGATAGAAGATAATGAACATAGATAGATAGATAGATAGATAGATAGATAGATAATGAAATGATCCTTAGATAGATAGATAGATAGATAGATAGATAATGAACATCCTTAGATAGATAGATAGATAGATAGATAATGAACATATAGATAGATAGATAGATAGATAGATAAGATAGATAGATAATAGATAGATAGATAGATAGATAGATAGATAGATAGATAGATAGATAGATAATGAACATCCTTAGATAGATAGATAGATAGATAGATAGATAGATAGATAGATAGATAATGAACATCCTTAGATAGATAGATAGATAGATAGATAGATAGATAGATAGATAGATAAAACATCCTTAGATAGATAGATAGATAGATAGATAGATAGATAGATAGAGATAATGAACATAGATAGATAGATAGATAGATAGATAGATAGATAATGAACATCCTTAGATAGATAGATAGATAGAAGATAGATAGATAGATATGATAGATAGATAGATAGATAGATAGATAGATAGATAGATAATGAACATCCTGAGATAGATAGATAGATAGATAGATAGATAGATAGATAGATAGATAGATAGATAGATATGAACAGGTTGAGATAGATAGATAATGAACATCCTTAGATAGATAGATAGATAGATAGATATGAAGAGGTGGACATCGATAATGAATATCCTTAGATAGATAGATAGATAGATAGATAATCACTGAATTTTATAAGATAAAAGAGAAAGAATAACGTTATCAACAAATAATAGTATTAATAAACAAAATAAATTAAAGAAAAAAGCATATTACTGAATCTAAAATAATCAAGATAGAATGGGGAAATAACGAAAAAGCAATATCGATAAAGACTAAAATGAAAAAAAAAAAACAGGACATAAATAATAATTAATTAAACAAAACAAAGAAAAAAAAAGATGGAGAATGAAAGCGAAAATATCGAATGTCAAAAAGAAGGTAAAAACAAAATGAAATAAACGAATAAATCGAGAAATATATAAAATAATAATTTTCATGAAAATTGAGAAATTTTGTCAAGGCAAATAAGTAAATGTGAAGGACATATATCTAAAAAAGCATTGGAACAGTGAAAAATGCCTTTCATAAGCTAAGAAATAAAGAGAAAAATGAAAGAGCAAAAGAAAGAGGAAAACGGAGCAGTTACAAGTTGTCTTCAAGAGGTTAGAGATTAATGGGAAAAATGAAAGAGGAAAAAGAAAGAAGATAAGAAAGAAGAAAAACTTTGCTACTGCGAATGATGAAAAAGAGAAAGAGGAGAAAGAAAGAAGAAATGCTTTGGAACTGCGAATGATGTCTCTAAAAAATAAAAAACAGAAAGAGGAAAAAGAAAGACGTTTAAAAAAGAAGAAAGTTTTGGAACTGCGAATGATGTCTCTCAAAACTAAAAGAGAAAGAGGAAAAAGAACTGCGAATGATGTCTCTCAAAACTAAAAGAGAAAGAGGAAAAAGAACTGCGAATGATGCCTCTAAAAACTAAAAGAGAAAGAGGAAAAAGAACTGCGAATGATGCCTCTCAAAACTAAAAGAGAAAGAGGAAAAGAACTGCGAATGATGTCTCTCAAAACTAAAAGAGAAAGAGGAAAAAGAACTGCGAATGATGTCTCTCAAAACTAAAAGAGAAAGAGGAAAAAGAACTGCGAATGATGCCTCTCAAAACTAAAATGAAAGAGGAAAAAGAACTGCGAATGATGTCTCTCAAAACTAAAAGAGAAAGAGGAAAAAGAACTGCGAATGATGCCTCTCAAAACTAAAAGAGAAAGAGGAAAAAGAACTGCGAATGATGTCTCTCAAAACTAAAAGAGAAAGAGGAAAAAGAACTGCGAATGATGCCTCTAAAAACTAAAAGAGAAAGAGGAAAAAGAACTGCGAATGATGCCTCTAAAAACTAAAAGAGAAAGAGGAAAAAGAACTGCGAATGATGTCTCTCAAAACTAAAAGAGAAAGAGGAAAAAGAACTGCGAATGATGTCTCTCAAAACTAAAAGAGAAAGAGGAAAAAGAACTGCGAATGATGCCTCTCAAACCTAAAAAGAGAAAGAGGAAAAAGAATCATGAATGGTGCCTCTCAAACCTAAAAAGAGAAAGAGGAAAAAGAACTGCGAATGGTGCCTCTCAAACCTAAAAGAGAAAGAGGAAAAAGAACTGCGAATGATGCCTGTCAAAACTAAAAGAGAAAGAGGAAAAAGAACTGCGAATGATGTCTCTCAAAACTAAAAGAGAAAGAGGAAAAAGAACTGCGAATGATGCCTGTCAAAACTAAAAGAGAAAGAGGAAAAAGAACTTGCGAATGGTGCCTCTCAAACCTAAAAAGAGAAAGAGGAAAAGAACTGCGAATGATGCCTGTCAAAACTAAAAGAGAAAGAGAAAAAAGAACTGCGAATGATGTCTCTCAAAACTAAAAAAAGAAAAAGGGAAAAGAACTGCGAATGATGTCTCTCAAAACTAAAAAGAGAAAGAGGAAAAGAACTGCGAATGATGCCTCTCAAAACTAAAAAAGAGAAAGAAAAAAAGAACTGCGAATGATGCCTCTCAAAACTAAAAGAGAAAGAGGAAAAAGAACTGCGAATGATGCCTCTCAAAACTAAAAGAGAAAGAGGAAAAAGAACTGCGAATGGTGCCTCTCAAAACTAAAAGAGAAAGTGGAAAAAGAACTGCGAATGGTGCCTCTCAAACCTAAAAGAGAAAGAGGAAAAAGAAAGACGGTAAAGAAGAAGAAACGCTTTGGAACTGCGTATGATGTCTATCAGAACTAAACAGAAAGTTGAAAAAAAAGGAAAAGAAAGAGAAAAATAAAATCAAAGACGCCTTCCAAAAGATAATCATGTCATTAAAAAAGAGGATATTTCGTTAGAAACAAAGAAACGAATGCTGAACTGCAACGTAATGCAAACTCTTGAGCCAAGTCGGATGTGATCCTAAGACATATTCTGAGGATACTATAGAAACCGTATTTGAACAATAGGGTTTTTTTTCTGTTGACACGAATCTCACACCTTAAGTTATAATGAGAAAGAGCCAGTTAATAACTTTCTGATACCAGATGTGAATAGACTGCTTCGAGAATTTGAAACTCAGAGGTCGTCTTGAAAGGAAGTGGAGCGGAGGAAATCGTCCAGTAAATTCTCTAACAGACTTTTGCAAATGGATGTCAGAAGAGGGACTAGAAGAGTAAGTAACGGAACATATACAGCTTAAAGTTATATTGGAATGGAATTTTGGCGAGCCATGATTTTCTCTGCCCTGGAAAATACATGCACATACAGAGCGCCATAGATAAATTGCTGCCTTTTTATAGTTTTAATTTCGCGCATGCGCTTTCTTTGTTTTCGATTTGGCCGACGGCACTGTTCAGTAGGGTCAATTGGGCACCGTCTGTGAGAAAAAAAGAGCACCATGACGCAATTCACTCCGCCATAAATTTGGAAACGGCATGTTTTACCCCTTGCCATTTGCACCGGAAGCTCCACTACGAACATTTCAGAATGCTTCGGTATCAATCTGAAGACAATGTAGAGGATTCGGAACGTGTCGGTTGAGTCTAATCGTGATTATTAAGATACGGCAGCTCGGAAATCACTCTGATCGTTCTGATAAAAGAACAACATTCATTTTCCCACTGGGTCTCAGATTCAACATAGAGGTCTATATCAAGTGCCTTGTGGAAGGAGTGTTGCCCTGGGTCAAGAGGCGGGCTGCTGCCAGTTCATATGTATAGCAACAGGCAGAAGAGCCCAGTTACTGTAGCCAGAAAATCTTCGCGACCATATCACCCCTTACATCCGGCCACCTAACGTCTAATACGGTAGCCACCTTGATTATTTATGTGTGAGAGACTAACAAAACAACTCTTAACAACAACGATCTACTGAAGGCAATTACTATGACAGCATTCACCAACTTAAAACAAGAGACCGCCCAGAAGGGTTGCAGGAGATTCTAAAGCTGTCTTTAGTATTTCAATGTATTTCTGTGTCATTTTGGTAAATATATCTGTTAAAATGAGATGCCAGTTTTATTTTCATTTTAGCGTAATTTCGACGACAATTTATCCAACGCACCCTGTAGGAGAAAAACAGTAGAAGAAGTAGAATTAGATATAAGAATTCAATTGCGACACAAGGAAAGAAAACATAAGATAAAAAAACGAAAAGAAATAAGGAAAGAAATGAAAGCAAGAAAAGAAAGGGAAAAGGTGAATGACGTAAAGCAACAACGTAATAGAAACAACGAGAAAGTTTTAATGACGTAAATAGGTGAAATCGAAGAAAGAAAGAGAAAGGCAAATAAGTTGAAGAAATTCATTTGTTTTGGGTTTTTTTTTTTCTAACAATAAATATTTATTTGAACAAAGTATCTAGAAACAAAAACAATTTTTTTTCCTATCTTCTGCCAGCCGCAATAATGGAGAAAGAATTAGTTTCTATCTCGGTCGGTTCATTATCTATATGTCTCTCTATCTATTTATCAATGACAGTCTGTTCCTCATGTTTCAATTTCAGTCAATTTATATCTGTCTTTCTCAGGCCGCTCTTTATCTATCTATCTATCTATATATATATATATATATATATATATATATATATATGGGGGGGGATATAGAGAAATAGGAAAGAACTTGTTAGGTAAATAATCCAAAGTTCTTTAGTATTTTTGTTATTTTTAAAAAATAGTGCTCGATACAAAAGTAGAACATAATATAATTTAATTTATTTAAAAATATGATTTTCAACACGTTTTACATATGCTTATGTAGCGTGTTGGAATCATATTTTAAATAAAATAATTATATATATATATATATATATATATATATATATATATATATATATATATATATGTATGTATGTATGTATGTATGTATGTATGTATCGGTTTGTTCAATATCTATATGTTTCTCTATTTATTTATCTATACCAGCCTGTTCTTCATGTTTCAGTTTCAGTCAGTTGATATCTGTCTTTCTCAGGCCGTTCTTCTATCTATCTATCTATATATATATATATATATATATATATATATATATGTGTGTGTGTGTGTGTGTGTGTGTGTATCGGTCGGTTCATCATCTATATGTCTCTTTATTTATTTATCTATGAGAGCCTGTTCCTCATTTTTCAGTTTCAATCAGTTGATATCTGTCTTAGGCCGTTCTTCTATCTATCTATCTATCTATCTATCTATCTATCTATATATATATATATATATATATATATATATATGTGTGTGTGTGTGTGTGTGTGTGTGTGTGTGTGTGTGTGTGTATGTGGTTTGTTCATCATCTATATGTCTCTATTTATTTATCTATGATAGCCTGTTCCTCATGTTTCAATTTCAGTCAGTTTAAACAAAAGCATTTTTTTTTGCTATCCTCTGCCAGCCGCAATGATGGAGAAAGTCTTAGTCTCGTCACCTCACCAGTGAGGCCCGCTGCAAATGCCGCTCCGTTTTGCTTGACTCATCCGTTAATCGAGACGCAATCCTGCCAATCCTCAGAAGGAAATCCATCGAATGAGCCCCAATAATCCCTGAAATTTCCACTGCCACTTGGATTAAAATATATCTCTCCGCAAGCGAAGAATATTTAACTATTTGTTTTTTTATTTTATGTTTAAGAAATAAAATCAAGGAAAAAGTTAAATCAAGGAAAAAAAACGAAAAATTCAATGACGGAAAGAAAAAAAAATCAAGAAATGAAAGAGAAAATTGAAAGAAATAAAATTAAGACAAAAAGTCAAATCGAGGCGCGAAAAAGGAAAACGCGAATGGCGTAAAGGAATAAAATGTAAAGAACGAGAAGAAGTGAATGACGTAAGGAAGGAATCAAGGAAAGGAGGAAACAATTAAAATGAGGAAATAAAATCAAAGAAAGAAATAAAGTCAAAAATGAGTCAATTTAAAGGATTTGAAGATAGAGAAAATATAAAGGGCTTGAAGAAATAATATTAAAGAAAGAAAGAGAAAATTTGAATGACGTAAAGAAATAAAATCCAGGAACGAAAGCGGAACGAAAAATGAAATAAAGAAATCAATCTAGGAAAGGCAGAGAAAAGGAAATAATTTGAATAAATAATATCAGAGAAAAATAAAATCTAAATGATGTAAAAAAGAAAATAATCAAGGAACAAAAGAGAAATTGGTGAATGATTTGAAGGAATTAAATCCAATGTCGATATAGGTAGATTTCTTTGTAGACAAGAAATTTATAAATATTCAGAGTTGTTCGCAGTTTAATCGGGAAATATTGAATGAAGGAATAAATGACTAATTGAATTAATAAATGACTGAATGAACGAAGGACGACATGAATGACATGCGGAGGAATACAAAATGGCGGGCCGCGTAAAATGAAATGAGGCTCCATTGAAACAATAGCAAATAGGACGGGATTTATTATCGGCTTGTGCGTATAATGGGTTGAGTGGAATAGGATCTTAGAGATTTAAGAATGAAAAACAAAACAAAACAGAATATGTGAATGTGAGTGAGAAAAAAAAAGAAATATATAGGGAGATATAAAGAGAGGAAAATAGAAACAGATGAAACAGTTGAGATGGAGTTGAAGCGAAATTAATAGGGGGAGAGAGAGAGAGAAAACAGAATCGAAGAAAAGAATTATAAAATGAGAAAGAAATAAAAAGAAAGAATAAATTCTTGTCTAAATTACGCAAAATACATATACAAGGTGTGATTGATAAATTGTTGTCTAAATTACGTACATCTACAGGCTGCGATTGATAAATTATCATCTAAACACAACTACACGATACGATAGATAAATTGTCGTCTGAATTATGCAAAATAAATCTATAGGGTGCGATGGATGAATTGTCGCCTAAATTATGCAGAAATGGAAGATAACATTGAAATATTATTTTAAGAGATATATTTACCAAATTTACACAAGATTATCTTGAAATACTAAAGAGTAGATTTATCCAATAAAATCGACATTGGATTCAGTGACGGCCTCCCGATGACTTCGTAATCTTCTGCAACTCTTCTGGATGGACTCTTTGTTTAAGTTGATGAATATTTTCTTAATCATTGCCTTCAGTTCATCTTTGGTCATACAATGAGTTTTGTCGGTCCCTCATTCAACTCTGCCCGATACATAATAATCAAGGGAGTTTTAACGTGATGAATTAGGGGGCCAGTTGTTAGAGGTCATATCGTCGGATAAATTATCTGACAGTCATAACTGAGTTTCTCTGCTTGTGTGGAATGGTGCTGGGTTCTGTTACCAGACATAGATTCTTCCAGCAGCCAACCCCTTGAGCCAGGGCAGAACTACCTCCTAAAAGCAATTGATTTTGGGCCTCCGTGTTGATTCTGACGCTCTGTGGGAAGATGAATGGAGGCATAACATCACTATCACTAGTGATCGAACAAAACCTGGTGTTAACTGGATATATCATCCAGCCCTTTCCGAATCCTCTGCACTGTTTCTTTGATTTTATTTCTTCAAGCCTTTTCAACTTTTTTCGAGCTTTCCTTAGTTTTAAGTCTTCTGATCCTTTAAATTTTCTTTCTTTGATTTTCTTTCTTCATTTCAATTTTATCCATCTTTTCTTGAATCCTTCTTTAAGTAACTCACAGTTTCTCGATTGACAGCCAAACACTCTGAAATGTTTGTATTTTTATCTTCCGGTGCGAATGCCAATCAGTACAGCATGCCGTTTCCAAATTTCTGGCGGATTGAATAACTTCATGGCGTTATTTTTCTCACAGACGTGGCCCAACTGACCATACTATGCTGTATAGTCGACAAAATCAAAAACGCGCATGCGCGAAATTAAAGATACAAAATGGCGTCAATTTGCCTATCGCACTTTGTATCTGTTAAAGTTACTTACCGAAAAAGAAAGAAATGGAAATTGCAGAGAAAAGAAAAAGCTAAAGAAAGAAAGGAAAAGGGATAGTAAGAAAAAAAAAGACAGAAACTTGAATGAGAATAGAGGAAATGAAACGAGGGAGGAAGAGAAGTACTGGACAGAAAGAGAGTGATCAGAAAGACAAAGATGAAGAGAGGAGAGCGAGGAAAAGAAAAAAGAGAATGAAATAAGATCAGTGAGATTGTTTAATCGAAAGTGAAATAGATAGAAATAAAGTGAAGGAGTGAACGATAGAAAGAATAAGAAAAGGAGATGGAGGAAAAGAAAAAGGAGAAAAATTAAGATATGAAAAAAAAAATAAAGGAGTAAAGGTTAAGATTGCTTAATCGAAAGTAAAATTCATAGAAAAAGAATGAAAATTAAAAAAAAAAAGAATGAAAGAAAAAAGACAGAATGGAAATAAAAAAAGGAGAAAAACAGAAAGTGGAAAAGATAAAGAAAGAAGTAAAAAAAGAGAAAGAAAACTAGATCATAAATAAAACAGAGAGAAAGAGAAGGTGAGAAATATGGATGAGAAAGACGGAAATAAAATAAATAAGAGACTATAAGAACGAAATTGAAATAGGAAGAAATAAAGTATAAAATAGAGATTGAATGTGTACAAATACAGAAAAAGAGAGATAGCAGAAAGGGCTTTTAGAGAAAGAGAGGGATAGCAGAAAGGGCTTTTAGAAAGAGAGATAGAGATAACAGGTAGGGCTTTTAGATAAAGAGAGAGAGAGAGAGGATGCAGGAAGGGCTTTTAAAGAATGAGAGATATAACAGGAAGGACATATAGAGATTACATGAAGGGCTTTTAAAGAAAGAGAGAGATAGCAGAAAGGGCTTTTAGAGAAAGAGACATAGCAGGAAGGGATTTTAGAGAATGAGAGAGATAGCAGGAAGGGCTTTTAGAGAATGAGAGAGATAGCAGGAAGGGCTTTTAGAGAATGAGAGAGATAGCAGGAAGGGCTTTTAGAGAAAGAGGGAGATAGCAGGAAGGGCTTTTAGAGAAAGAGAGAGATAGCAGGAAGGGATTTTAGAGAGAGAGGATGCAGGAAGGGTTTTTAAAGAAAGAGAGATATAGCAGGAAGGACATTTAGAGATAGCATAAAAGGGCTTTTAGAGGAAAAGAGAAATAGCAGAAAGGGGTTTTAGAAAGAGAGATAGAGATAGCAGGAATGGCTTCTAGGGAGAGAGAGAGGGAGAGAGGGAGAGAGAGAGAAAGAAGATACAGGAAGGGTTGTTAAAGAAAGAGAGATATAGCAGGAAGGACATTGAGAGATAGCCGGAAGGGTTTTTAGAGAAAGTGAAAGATATAGCAGGAAGTGCTTTTAGAAAGACAGAGATAACAGGGAGGGCTTTTAGAGAAAGACAGAGAGATAGAAGGAAGGGCTTTTAGAGAGATAGAGATATGGCAGGAAGGGTTTTTTAAAGAAAGAGAGAGATAGCAGGAAGGGCTTTTAGAGAGAGAGAGAGAGAGAGGATGCAGAAAGGGTTTTTAAAGTTATAGAGATATAGCAGGAAGGACATTTAGAGATTGCAGGAAGGGCTTTTAGAGAAAGAGAGAAATAGCAGGAAGGGCTTTTAGAGGAAGAAAGAAATAGCAGGAAGGGCTTTTAGAGAGAAAGAAAGAGAGAGAGAGAGGGGGGATGCAGTAAGGGTTTTTAAAGGGAGATATAGCAGAAAGGACATTTAGAGATAGCAGAAAAGGGCTTTAGAGGAAAAGAGAAATAGCAGGAAGGGCTTTTAGAGAGAGAGAGAGAGAGAGAATGCAGGAAGGTTTTTTAATGAAAGCAAGATATCGCGGGAAGGACATTGAGAGATAGCCGGAAGGATTTTTAGAGAAAGTGAGAGAGATAGCAGGAAGTGCTTTTAGAAAGACAGAGAGAGAGAGCACTAAGGGCTTTTAGAGAGAAATAGCAGGAAGGGCCTTTAGAGAAAAAGATAGAGATAGCAGGAAGGGCTTTCAGAGAAAGTGTGTGTCTGTGTGTGTGTGTGTGTGTGTGTGTGTGTGTGAGAGAGAGAGAGAGAGAGAGAGAGAGCATGAAGGACCTTTAGAGAAATAGATAGAGCGGTTGCAAGGCCGTTAAAAGAACGAATAAAGAAAATAAAGAGAAAAAAAGTCAGAGCGTCATAAAGAACGAGTGAGAATGAATAATGATCCAGAAAGAGAAAGTGTAATGATTCGGGTGGGAGGTGTAGAGAGAGAGAGACAAAGAATGTGAGAGATTAAAAGCAAATTAAAAGCAATTAGTGAGACTACAAGGGAGATTAGGGGAGACGGATATTTGATTCGGGAGACAAAAACAAAAAGATAAATAGTTGATGGAAAGAGTAAAGAGAAAAAAAAGAGAAGAGGAAAATGAAGGGACTGAAAGAGAGGCGGTAAAAGAGAAAAGGAAAAGTATAGAAAAGAAAGGTAATAAGAAAACGAGAAATAAAAGAGAAAGGGCTGAAAGTGAGTTTAGTAAAAAGGAAAGAAAAAAAGAAAAAAATTAACAAAGAAATAAGAAAAAAAGATAAAAAGCCAGAAAGAGAGGCGATAAAAGAGGGGGAAAATAGAAAAGAAGAAAAAATAGAGAAATAAAACAGAGAGGGTTGAAAGAGAGGTGGTAATAGAGAAAAGAAAAATATAGAAAACGTAACAAGAAATCGAGAAATAGAAGAGAAAGGGATGAAAGTGAGGGGTAAAAAGGAAAAGAAAAAAAGAGAAAAAGGTAAGAAGAAAAGGTAAAGCGAAATAAAAGAGAATTTTTTCAAAATTAAAGAGAGGTAGTGAAGAGAGAAAACAAAATGCAAGGGAAATCGGAAAGGAGAAAAAATAAGAAAAAAAAATAGAATGATGGGAAATGGACTTTTTTTTTGCAGCAAATCGTGTGTTGGTTCAAATCTATCCGCGACCGTTTCGATTGATTCTTTTTATTTATTCATTTATATATTTAATTTTCTTTTTTTTTTTTTTGCATTTTCCTTCCTTGCAGTTTTGTCGCTGTCAGAGACTAACATTACAGCTATGAAAAAAATAAAAGTAAAAAAAAAAGAAAGAAAGAAAGTGAATGGAGCGAGAACGAAAGCAAATGAAAAAAAAAAGAAAACTGGGAAGGAAATTAGCAAACGAAATTAAAAAGAGGAAAGAAAATTATTAAATGTGAAGAGAAGCAAAAAATATAGACAAAGAAAATAAGCCAAAAAACAGAGAAAAAGAAAGTAGAAGACAGAAGGGAGAGATAACACGAAGAATAAATATATAAAGAACAAATAAAGCAAAAGATAGGTAATAAAAAATGCAGAACGTAAAGGAAGACGCTGATATTAAGATAGAAAGAAAGAAAAAATAAACAAAGGTAATGTAGTAGCCCTTTATTTATCAACAAGCGATATAATTCAAAACCCGTAAAAATGCCTCTAACCTAGGAGAACATTAAACAGTATAAACGCTATAATTTTAATTTATTTGTCTCTATACATCAGTCGGTTATGTGCCATGCGTGATACGAGAGACGAGGCAGATATTTTTCTCGCAGTAGATTGCCAATTCTTTCAGCGGTAGACCAGTTGCCATCCAATGTCTGTCCTGCTATTTACCCATAGAAGAGGATTCATACCTTCCCAAAGCCATAGAAGAGGATTCATACCTTCCCAGAGCGTAAGTGAATTTCACTCAGTAATGTGCCATGCGTGATACTCGCTTAGGCGATCATGTATCTTTCGATACCTGACTGACGAGGTAGATTTTTTTTTCCTGTCGTAGGTTGCCATTTCTTTCTGCGGTAGACCAGTTGCCATCCAAGAATATAGACCCCCTAGCTGGGGGGAGAAGAAGAGGATTCGTAGCTTTACCCAAGTGTATGGTTTCGACTTGAATTCGAACTCGGCTCACCTATCCTTCAATCCGAGCTGCTCTCCATTACTCCACCGCGCCTCCCAATACCTACGATAAAATCAATTTTATATAATAATAGCAGCATGGCCCGGCGTTGGCCGTGCTTGATTCAAAAATCGTACGACTCATACAGCAATCGCTATCACTTCACTTAAAATATTTTTGCCCTTCCTTGCCTTTAAAGGAGTTCCCTTTGCCATGCTGATGTTGCTACATGTCTTATTTCTTGCCTATCTCACACTGCGAATATTTTCTAAGTTCTATACTAAACATTAAATCTGTTACGAAAAAAAACTAAACAAAATGAACACAAAACGATCAGCTTTAACAAAAGGACTCGTAACTGGAAAAACCGAATGAAATAAGAATGTTAACAACAAATAATTCTGCGGAATCAGAATCAACGTTGAGTTTAAGCAAGCGAGTGAGCCAATTGGAGTAAAGTTCCATGCAGATTTAAATTTTTCCCACTTGTAACGAATGCAGCTATCGATTTTTTTGCATGCTAGCATGCTAGTTAACATTCGTGTCAGTTAGCTGTTGGCTCCCACGGTGGCCAATAGATTCTTCCTGCCTATTCGTGGCAGCCAGCTATAGGCTCTCACTCTGGCCAGTAGAAAACATGAAAACTCCCGTAGAAGCATGAAATTATCGATTATTTCCACTATCGATGGAAGTTGGGAAATGCAACGTCGGTCTTGGCCTTCCTGCTAACTTGGGGCATGTGCATGTAAATTTTGGTGCAAATCCGACAAAAATGGCGTCCGTGCATTCGTTACACACACACACACAAACACACACATCCTGTCTTTTATAGATAGAGATAAGGACAAATTTACGGCATTAAAAATAAAAAGATAATAGAAAAAGCGCCGTTCGTTATAATAATCTTAGCAAAGCCCACCATATGATTGTTTATAATTTCCATATAACGTCAAAAACATGAGCATTTCGACGTGGGGTAATGGTTAATGAGCTTGTCTCGTTAGATCAATTCCGAGTGAAAAGTGAGCTTAAACCTCACTGGGTGCCCGATAGTGTCAATCTCGTTTCACACATAACAAACGCTTAGAAAATAACCATATGACATCAAGAACTCGGACACTCTGGCATTGTATAGTGGCGAGCTAGCTTGTCTTGCTAGATCAAAGATGACAGAGTAGAGAGAGTTCCTTTTTCACGAAGTGCTCTATACATTTGGCCTTGTGCCACTGCTGAGCTGCGCTCACTTCATCAACAATAGCATCGAGAAGTTTCACTTTTAATTTAAAAAAAAATATTTTATTTATATTTATTCTGTAGCTTATCAAGTTGTCAGGATACATCCTCTAGCATATTGGGACCTTAATAAAGTAAAACTTATTGGTTATTGCTGGTGTTGATCATGGAGTAAGATATAGACTAGAAGCTTAAATCATGGAATGATTCTATTTATAAGATCAAAGGACATAATTAAAAAATGAATAACAGCGAAATGAAAAAATGGACAGGGACAAAAGGAAGAGATATAGATAGAAAGACGTATAAGAATTATGGGAGAAGGAAAGGAATCGAAAGAATATGAATTGGGAAAAGTAAAGCAAAGTAAGGCAGAGAAAAAATTTGGCAGAACGAAGAAAAAAATGGATAAGGGGATCATGAAAGAAAAAATGAAAGAAGATGGAGAGAGACAGTAGAAAGAAAGAATATTCATGGCACATATAGTTCTGGTGTTAATAAAAGAGAACATTCTGCTTCGAACTCCGACACGTTATAGCGGTTATATATATATATATATATATATATATATATATATATATATATATATATATATATATATATATATATATATATATATATATATATATATATATATATATATATATATATATATATATATATATATATATATACACACATACATATATATATATATATACATACATATATATATATGTATGTATATATATATGTGTGTATATATATATATATATATATATATATATATATATATAGATAGATAGATAGATAGATAGATAGATGTATAGATAGGGGAGGGAAGGAGAGAAATGAAGAAATTATATTTAGGTAGCAAGTATTCAACCCCAAAACTTTGAAAAAATAGACTGAAGAGGTTTGTTTAATTTTTTATTGCGGTTTTAGTATTCAATTCTTTTAATCTAAATAGTTTGTCAATAAACACACACGCAAAAACACACACACATAGACACACACACACACACATATATATATATATATATACATATATATACATGTCTATATTTACATATATGTAGATATACGTGTATATTTATATATATGCATATATATATATATATATATATATATATGAATATATATATACGTATATATATATATATATATATATATATATATATATATATATATATATATGTATATATACATATATATGTATAAATTTGTGTGTGTGTGGTATATATATATATATATATATATATATATATATATGTACAGATAGATGGATATGAATATATATATATATGTTTTGTTTAATATATTTTCTATTTATATGTTTTATTTTATAAATATAACTTATTTAAGTAAATACTTTTTTTTAATTAAATACTATTAATTAAAATTAGGGACCTGAATATTCGAGAAATTTTGTAGAAAATATGAGTTTTGAGAAGAATCGAACCTCTAACCCTAACATGGAACTGTCATTTATTTAAATAAATTATATTTATAAAAATAATATATAAACAGAAAATATATTAAATAATAATTAATCCATTAAATAATATATATATATATATATATATATATATATATATATATAGAGAGAGAGAGAGAGAGAGAGTGAAG